TCTAGTGTAGACATAATTATACTGGCATCATTTAATTACTAATGCCCTACAATAGCGAAAACTGAAATAGAAAGAAAGGGACAAATTCAGCAGCGAGGTACATACTTGTGTACATTACAAACCAGATGTAAATTTTAAGAGCAGGTTGGATAGACATCTGTCAGGGATGATTTAGACAGTGCTTGGTCCTACCATGAGGGCAGGGGACTAGACTCAATGACCTCTCATGGTCCCTTCCAGTCCAAGTGTGCTATGATTTTATGATTCTATGATCAGAAAAAGGCTGTAAGTGCCACGGCCAAACCGATGTTACTTGAATCAGACTTGTGTTCAGCAGAGGTCAATTCCACATACTCTCTGGATGATCTCCGCACCTCAGGGAGTATGCCCTGTTTATGGAATATCCATGGCCGATAAAGTGGAGCTATACTGGCCTCTCGCATGCTGAAGAAGATATGGGTCAGGGTCAGAGTGCCTCTTGCTAATCTTGGTTCTCCTGGACCCCTTGAGGCAGCTTGGTTAAAAGTTAGAGTAGCTGTGAGGCTGTTCCCTGGGTTGCCTTAGAAGACCAGGAAGTACAAAGTTGATTAAAGTCACTCTTCTTTATAGCTCAGGAAGGGGTGTTAATTCTTAAATTGAAATTGCTTGATTATTTAAATAACAGACCTGCAATATTTTCGGTCATATTCAGACATGATGTCAGATTTGATCTCAGTGTAGTTGTATCTATTCCATCAGGCCTGGTTTTGGCCCTCTTCTTGAAATTAATTAGTTGATGATACTGATTATTAATCTTCTCTTTGCATACGTTTAGACTATAGGCTTTTGTCGACAGAGGCTTTGTTGACAGATACTGTCAACAAAGACTCTATCGACAAAGAGTGTCTAGACTACATGCAGTTCTGTTGACAAAGCAAGCCGCTTTGTCGACATGAGAGTGTAGATGCAAAGGACAGCGCAGATACAGTAACGCCTTCTGTCGACAGAACTCTGTCAACAAAAGGCGTTATTCCTCATAGAATGAGGTTTACCGCCGTTGACAAAACTGATGAGTTCTGTCAACGTTATGTCGACAGAACTCGGCAGTAGTGTAGACACAGGTATAGTTTTGTCAACAAAAGGCCACTTTTGTCGACAAAACCCTGTAGTCTAGACACATCCTTTAAGGGTATATCAACACAGCAGTGCTATTTTGGAATAATTTACATTATTCTGAAATAGCATAGTCCACATCTACACTACAAACAGTTATTTCAGCAGTTAAATGTCAAAATAATGTTGAGCTAGAGAACTTACTCCAACTTCTGTAACACTCATTTTATGAGAACTAAGGGAAGTTGGGGGAAGAGTGCTCTTTCTCAGACTTCCTGCTGTGTAGACAGTGCCAAAAGCCGAAATAAGCTATTTTGACTTAAGTTATAGAATTGATGTAACTCATGTTGTGTAGCTTATTTTGGCTTTAGTCTTGCTGTAGAGACGTGCACTAAGAAAGGTGTGATCTGTTCCCACAAATCTTTTGCATACTCATTATGGTGCAGTTGAGGGCATTGGATTTGTCACACAGTTTAACAAATATATCTATCCTTGATATTGCAGTTTGATTGTGCAAAATTGAATAAACAAGCACTTTTTTTTTTTGCTTGAAAGTTCTAACAACCAATTCCTGGAGTTCACTGAATCAGGACAGGGACTGCAAAAGAAAATAAAGGATGTGTCTGGAACAGATGACAGTGTATTTGAACTTGGTAGTGATTTTTTTTCTATGCCAGCCTCACATTGCTAGAATCATTTGACATATGTTTCTGAATGTGACTATCTACAGCTGTATTTGTTTTTTATTTTGGTTTGCTTTGGGTTTTTTATCTTATGTGTTTAGCTTTCCCTGGTGTTTGAGCAGGGAACAATAAGACAGTATTGCAGTCTTCAAGGAATCCGCTTGACAATGCAAGGATAGCATTGTTGTCAGGAGGATTAGACAAAAAATACAGCAAAGTCTCCCAAGTCAAACAGAAAAAAAATGCCTCTGAACTGTGCAAGAAGAAGTTGGCCAAAAGCTGACATAACACTAGGTGCGATGCCAGAGTGTCTGACTTTTTAAACAGCCCATTATTATTCACTTACCTGATTAAAGTGAACTGATTACATAGGAATGTTTCTTGCTCTGATGTTCTTTTTAAATAAGCAAAGTAGGTATTAAAGTACTTATTTTATTGTCATCTTACTATTAGAACAGTTAATTTATGTACCCTAGTATAATACAGGCTGGAATATAATTTTAAATCTTAATTTCTATTTATTTGACTATTACATCAGACTTGGGGTATTATATTTCCAATATGCAGGACAAAAAGGTTTCTGTAGGAATATAGGCCCACTCTGGACCACAGTGAACTATGTCTTTAACCTGAGTTTGGCTATTAGCATGAGCCACAGATGGAAAACTTATAATCAGAAGAACTGAAATCATAAGAGAGAAAAGAGCTTTTTGTGGTAGATTTGTTGTGAGCTAGAATTACCTTATTTAATATTTAAATAGAAATAATGAAAATAAAAGAAAACATAGTTAATTGGGCACTAAGTACATACATAATTGGTTAGAAATGGTCTGGTAGATGGGCAGAATTATGACAAAATAAAATAAGATCTTGAAGATTAGACTTAGCCGTGAATTTTATCTTGGTCAGGCAAATAATCCAGGTTCAGACCTCACTGCCTATCTGGCTTTAGTTAAGGTCCAAAAACCAGCAATAACATTACTTGTTTGTTATAGTGTGTAAAAAGACAAGTTTTGAGAGGCTTCTTTATGAGGTCTTTTTCTATACCTCTTCGGAGTCGTGACATGCTAGGAAGGTATCTTCTGAGCCTAAACCTGCTGCTGAGAGTGTATGGCCAGTCTTTAGAACTGAACGGTTGTTAGGGTATTGGATATTGGTATCTATGCATCTCCTTATATAGCAGACTTCTGATAATTCGGCACCTTTGGGACCCAGGGGGTGCCGGATTATCGGATATGTCGGAGTATCAGGAGGTACTCTGGCAGGGGGTCTGTGATGGGTCTCGGGGAGGGGAGGGGAGGTCGGGCGGGGAATGGCATGGCATGGCATGGGGTGAACCAGGTGCTGGGGAGGGGCAGCGCTGCAGGACCAACCCGGCAGCACCCCAGCTGTTCTTCTCCATGGCTTCCCCAAGTTTGTCGCTGCTGAAACTGACCAGCGGCAGACTTGGGGAAGGGCGGGCAGGAGGGGCAGCGCTGCGGGACCAACCACCCCAGGTGCTCTGCCTGCCCTTCCCCAGGTCCGCAGCTGGTGAGTTTCAGCAGCGGCAGCAGTGGACTTGGGGAAGCAGCGCGGCGCAGCTCTAATTGTCCGGCTGGCCAGAGCACTTCCGGGGTCCAATTGGTGCCAGACTATTGGGAGTGCCGGACCACTGGATGCCAGACAATTAGAGTTTTACTGTATTTGTATTCTGGATATAATCAGCACCCGGTGACCTCTGGATTAACAAAGGAATGCTTGTGTGGATATCCAGTCACAGAAACCTTAATAAACTTACTGTGACAATTATTTTTAACAACTATTATAAGAAAACATATTTACTGCACATATCAAACAGGCATTTCCTAGAAAGCAGGCAGCAGACACCTTGCTGCCTGTCCTAGGGATATTAAAGGCTAGTCAACTAGCCAGCTGTCTGATAAGCATTTGATTATCAGATAGTCTTTTGACTAGTCGATAGAGGCAGTTGGGGGGTGGGCGGGCTACTTTAAAGTGGCAGCGCCGCACAGCTCATCCGGGGAAGCACCATGCAGAGCCCAGGGTTAGCTGGGGAATCCTCAGCTGATCCCAGGCTCCTAGTGGCATGCAGTGTAGCATGGAGCCCGTGATCAGTGGGGGACTCTGAGTTCCCCGCTGACCCTGGGCTCCATGGACTTAAAATGCATAAAAGCCCCCGCTGTGGACTCTTGTGCATTTCAAAGCAGGAACCTACGTACAACCCAGAGTCAGCTGGACTTCATGCTGGCCCTGGGCTGTACATGGAGTTCCACATTCCTCCTCTGAATTGTACAAGAGCCCCCAGTGGGGCTCTTGTACATTTCAAAGGAGGAATGCAGAAATTCCATCGACTAGTCAACTAGTCAGTTAACTGCATTTTAACATCCTTAGTCTGTCCTTCCCTCCTCCCTGGCCCTGTCACCATACTGGTGGATGGGTGGCTGCTTCTCCCAAGGCAGAAATGAGACAGCTTCCATGGACATCATATGCAGGTTTCAGAGGGAAAAATGCTGAAGAGTTTCTGTCTGTGGTGGTGGAGGCATGGTGCTTGACTGAGAGAGGAGGACATGTGCTGCATGATGTCACTCCCTTTTTTCTGTGCTACCCAGCAGTGGATGCACACGGTGACATAGTTTATGAAACACTGTTTTTGGAAGGCCCTATGTCATTATCTTCATTGTTAACTGTTCATTTATTCATGCTGCATTAGCCTTTTCTTGGACTCACAAGCCTGTTTGTGACATCACAACTAATTGCCATGTTCGGGGGTGGACAGATTTGCTGGACCCTGGAAGGGGTGAGACCTTGGGCAGAAGGAGGCCAGGCTGGGACAGCCAGCCCTCAGCACTGCCCAGAGCATGCTATGCTGCTCCCCCAGCTAGCCGTCCATGCTACCTGGAGTGCACAGCGAAGCATGCCAATGGCAGTGTAAAGGGCCCAGAGCTCCCGGCTGCTGCTTCTCTTATTGAATTGCCAGCTCCTGGGGCAAATCACCCCCCCTCTCCCGCTCCCCCTCTCCCGATAGGCAGGCCTGGATGTGTTGTGCATTTTGCTGGAGGATTATAGCTTCAGATGAGGAACTAGCAACAAAAATCTGGGGTGTCATGCCAGGGTCATTTAGTATATTTAAAAGGGGAGGGGAGCACAGAACATAGAGAGGCCAAGAGAATTGTCTGTATATGGAATGCACTGCACAATGTTCTAGGAGAAGAAAGAAAGAAAGAAAGAAAGAAAGAAAGAAAGAAAGAAAGAAAGAAAGAAAGAAAGAAAGAAAGAAAGAAAGAAAGAAAGAAAGAAAGAAAAAGGTATTAACCCCTTTGGGGAACCATAATTATTTCAGTGAGAGTTGGACTGGGCCCTCTACAGCAGTAGAAATTCTAGGTGCTGGTATTCTGCATGTAAATGAACACTTGTCTGTGTTATGTTTGCTTTATTTGTATAATGTGCTAAGCTTCACATACCACAATGGAAAAGAAATATTTGACTGTGGGCACTGAAGAAGGAAAAAACAACTTAGCATTTTCAACAGCGTTAAGCCTCCCTGATGAATAATTTCCTACTTGACTTGGTGAGTATGGCAAATGCACGGAAAATTCATTTCAGTCTTTTTTCGTAAAAAAATTAAGATTAAATAAAATACTAGTTCACAGACCTCCTGCCGTCATGCCTCTACTGACATCAGTATGCAGGGTATTCATTATTTCACAATCTGCAGATGCAGATGCAGTCTATGTCAGAGCTTTTGTATTCCTATGAAATCCTGCTCACTTGACTATGTAGTTGGAAAGGAATTGAGCAGGTCAGTCAGTAGATTTAGTTGCTTGAAAGTATGCAGAGGCATAACTGAAGAACAGAGAAACCCAGGAGGTTCACTTTCCTGGGAGCAAAGGGCAAGACAAACATTCCTCTGAAAGAATCAGAGAAATCCAAATAGATATCTGAAAAATGCATTACAGGCCCTCCTGGAGCTACAAGAGGTGAAGGCACCTAGTTTTGAATCCAGATATCTGTTTTCTTTCCACACTTTGTCCAGCTTTAATCATAGCAGCAGAAAGCTCATAAAGATTATTCTGTTTGGATTCTCAAACAAGGTTTTTGTTGTTGTTTTTACCTTCAGTTCCAAACAGCAGATGCAGCCAGCAAATCCAATGACTTTGTACTGCTGTATCATTGCGGTCTTTTAACAGCTTTTTCATGCATTTTGATCCTTAGTTTTTAAATTTTTAAATTTATTTCTGTATTAGCAATGAAAAGTCAACATCAAAGACATTAGTTTAAAGTTAGGTCTTCTTGTCTAAAAAGGAAATGGAAGAATTCTAAATAACTGATTTCCAAGGGAATGCTTAATTTTATTATGCCAAGTGCAGGTATATTATAAAACATACAGTCATTCAAAGGTAGCAGGCTCCAGTATAATTAATGTTAGACATATGGAGAAAAGGATAATCAAAACTTGTCATTTCAGGTATATGCTTATCATAGCAAAGTTCATAAAGAAATCTCTCCAGTGCACAACTGTGTGGAACAGGTGACAGAGGTAGGTTCCTCTGAAGCCTCCACAATAGGATTTTCACCTGGTATGGCAGATCCTGTACTCCCAAGTAAATCAATTCTTTACATTTGTCTTGCTACGATTGAATGGCCATTGAGGCCAGCATTTGTAAAACTGCCATCCCAAGTAGGGGATCAAAAAATTGAGTTGTCCCAGTTTGGAGAACATGTGGGAAGATGATGGTCTTTACTCCTCTAACAAATAAATGCTAGCCACACAACTGGGCAACAAGGATTCACTCTTCTGGGTTGTCTTTTTTCTAGTAGTGATATAAGGAATCTGTTGTTAAGATCAGCTTGCTGGTTACCTAGGAAAAACACTTGCACCCGTCGCATGGATACAGTTGCCAAAGACTACCTTCCAACTTTTCTCATCCTATAAAACTTCCTTATAGAGAAGTGTTTTTTGTTTTGTTTTTCCTCCCCATCTGTAATGTAGTGTACCTTGGCAGGCAACAGAAACAGTGCCTTCCTCATTCTAACGAAGCATTTACAATTTGTTTTGAGTAGTGGAGACAGAATCCAGGTGTCCTGGGGTGTTTCATCATACCTTTCTTGAACTGTGATGTCAAAACATATCAGTGTGATCATTCATAAACTACAATAGCTCTCCTGCATCTCTTTTCTCATGTGATTCTATTCTACGTAGGGTAGTGTAGAATGACAGTGTGCCTTCTGTTTTCATCTCTTTGATTGCCTGTAATCTTAAAGACAAACCTTTCTGGCTTGTTTCTCTGAATCACAGTTAAGTGGCTTATGAGTTTTATGAGGACTCAATGGGCTGAAATTTAGTCCAACTGCAAGTGAGCTACAGCACCATTGTCTACACAGGAGATGTAGCCCATTGCAATAAAAGCACATCTTCTGCACTGTGAGAAGCAATCATATGTGTGGGTTCAAGTCATCTCTGTATTCATGGGATTTTATGCTCCTATAAGTCTCCTTATCTTCACAAGGACTCTGTCATTTTGTACAATAAGGAGAAAACTCTCCAGCTGCGTCTAGACTGGCAAGTTTTTCCTCAAAAGCAGCTGCCAGCTGTCTACACTGGCCAGCTTGAATTTCCGCAAGAACACTAACGATCTCATGTAAAATTGTCAGTGTTCTTGCGGAAATACTATGCTGCTCCCGTTCGGGCAAAAGCCCTCTTGCGCAAATGCTTTTGCTTAAGGGGACCAGTGTAGACAATGCGGTATTGTTTTGCGCAAAAAAAGCCCTGATTGCAAAAATGGCGATCGGGGCTTTCTTGCACAAAACCACGTATAGATTGGCATGGATGCTTTTCTGCAAAAAGTGCTTTTGCGGAAAAGTGTCCGTGCCAATCTAGACGCTCTTTTCCACAAATGCTTTTAATGGAAAAACTTTTCCGTTAAAAGCATTTGCGGAAAATCATGCCAGTCTAGCTGTAGCCTCCTAGTATATGTTAGAAGTCTATAGCTTTGACTTCCTCCTTTTCTTGGAGCGTACTAAGAAAATACATGTATTCAGAATAGCAGAAAAGCATTGATTTGAAGAATAAAACAGAACCTGTGCAAGGGAGCCTTGGTTGATAGCTGCAGTGAGAAGACTGTGAGAAGGTCCCATGTAAGAAAATGTTAGAGTTTCCTAACAGACGTTAACAGCATGGAGTGATCCCCTTTAACCTGGATGACTCAACAGGTTAAATTATAACTTTGACCAGGGCCTGGTCTACAATAAAAAGTTAGGTTAATCCAGATGCAGTGCTCATGAGTATGCAAATCCATACCTTTGAGCAACATATTTAAGCCTGACCCTTGGTGTAGCTGGAAGAATTCTTCCATTAACTTAGCTACTACCTCTGGAGAGATGGATTACCTACACTTATGGGAGTACTCCTCTTGTCAGCATAGTGGTGCTTTCTTTGAAATGCTAGAGTGGCATGGCTGCAGCATTCCAGCTGTGTCACTGTAGCATTTCAAGTGTAGATAAGCCACAGGTGATAGCTAAGGAGACACTGTCTTTAGAGCTTTTCAAAGGTCATTCTCTAGGGACCTCCATCCCTAGAGGTTTTTAAGTCTCAGCGTGACAAAGCCCTGGCTGGGATGATTTAGTTGGGGTTGGTCCTGCTTTGGTCAGGGGGGTGGATTCAGTGACCTCCTGAGGTCTCTTCCAACCCTATGAGTCTGTGATTCTGAGAGTATTAAACCACGCTCTGGCAAGGAAGCAGATTAGAAGAAGTGATACCACTGAAAGTCTTTTGTTAAGGTTATACTTGTAAAAGTAAAAACCAATGTGATCTTTTGTAAGGAAGCATACGTTTGAAATTTGGTTTTGCTTATTGCCAAGTGGCTTTTCTTGCAGAGAAGACATCATTTTCTGTATTCTGCAGCCTTTCATTCTAAACCTGTACGTTATTGGCACTCATGCCTTTTCAAATCTGGCAGTCCACCTTTGTGAATGGGCAGAAAGCCACTTTAACAGATGTGCATTAATGTAGACTTGCCAGAAAAACCTCATGTCTATTCTGTGTTTTCATCCTGTGATATAGGGATCGGATAAGCCGTCACCACTACTTACATGTATCTGAACTGTGGCTATGATCTTGTTATTGTGAATCAGGATTCATGTTTTAAGACGAGAAGGGCATTGCAATGAAGTCAGTTCACAATTCTTGCTGTACTTCAAAGGACATATGACAATTTACACCAGCGGAGTATCTGCCCGGGTGAATCTTAGCACATCCTTTAATAGCCGAGATGCATCTGTGGGGCTGGCTTTAGGCACATATAAAGTATGAGGCCTCCCAGGTCTCTTCCCTGTCATAACTCTCCCAGGTTTCAGTATTTATCTGTGAATACTTCAATTTTGCTGCCCCTACCACCTCCTCTCTCCATTGAGGAATGAACCTGAGCACCCAGCTTACTTCATACTCCAAGTACCAAGAACTCAGTTCAGTCATCATATTAGTTCCTGAAAACAACCCATGTTCCACTGTGACAAATGAAGGGAAAATCCATCCCTTTCATATTGCCAAGCCACCTGAATTCCCTTCCCTCAGTACAGACAAATTCCCGACTTATCTCAGCTGCTCATGGCATATTTGCCCTGTTAGCAGCAGATGTGTACCCATAAGCCCCAAATATTAATTATCAATGGGCCCAGCAAAACCCAGAGCTGATTCTGAATAGCGTGGTCATAATCCAGAAATATAGGCTTGTATTCTAGTATCTTCTGAGAGAAGAGCCTTTGCTCCTTGACCATTGCCAATGTAGAATAACAGGAACCAAAAGTATTTAATTCTAAATGAATGTCTCAGTGGGCTTTTTAATACTCTACCTTAAGACTTCCAAGTAAAAGAGCTGTTTGTCCCTGAGGTTGTTACACAGTATAGCAGATTTATGTTTGCTTATGTAGCTTCTGTTATGCTTCATGAACACTTCATGAATGCTCTGAATGCTGAAAATGTCTCAGGCAATTTAGGAAAAGGCATAAAGACAATCTCTAGTGTGTTTTTAAAGCTCTTGCTCTAAGCTTTTGTTTTTTTGAAATTCTTGGCCCATGGATTATTTTGTGTATTATATATTTTTATAGCTCATCTACTGCTGTCACTGATAGGGATGTACTTCTGAATCTGATGTGTCATTTCAACTGTCAAATAAAAGACCAAAAATACTGCATACATTTAGCATGTCATGTTTGATAAAGTTAACTTTCATTTTATTTATATATTAGGCTAAAGTTCGCACTAATGCAAATCTTTAAATTTGTATGTATAGTCATAGTTGCATACAATAGTTGTCATTTTTGGACACATGAAAAGATATGTCACATTGAGATCTGCACATTGGATAACATACCACAAGATGCATCTTGCACAGTCACTATTTGGAATCATAACTAACTTTCATTTGTCATCACGTAAATTCCTTTTGTCCAAGATGTCATTTCTGTCAAGAGCAGCTACGTCATTTTGCATGAAGTGCATATGGATGTGTAGTACCTAGGAACTAGAGTTTGCCTCAGATGAAATTTGGAAACATACAGCTAATTATTGTG